GCGCATATTTTATTTCACTTAAAATCAAGGAACTTTACAAAAACATCCAGATTAAGGCATTTCCTTTGTGACAATATGCGCGAGAAAAGGTGGCACCTCTGCTGTCCAGTACTCATCATCCTCAACGTGCAGAGCCCGCCGTGCCAGCTTATGAGCCACTGAATTACCCACGCGGCGGATGAATTTGACATGCCAATTATGAATAGAGGCCATAAGCAGTTTGCAATCTGATAGAACAGTTCCTAAGCTGGAGTTTATATCAGAAAGGGGAGAGTTCAGAGCTGTTACCAAGCTGGCACAATCCGATTCCATAATCACCTTCTCAAAGGAGAGCTCACAAGCCCATTGCAAAGCTTTGCGCAAACAACATGCCTCAGCAATCTCGGCACACACAGTCCCCTGACCTTTGCATGACATGGCTACCACCAATGCCCCCGAGCTATTCCGTGCAACGGCGCCCATGCCATAAATTCGCTAGTGAGCTGAAACTGCCCCATCAACATTTATCTTCACATGATCTCCATTTGGAGGGGTCCATCTCGTTTCCATTCGGTGAGACGCCGAGGGTCCTCGACCTCGTAAAGCCATAACTCTACGATACTCATCTAAAAATCTTAAGCTCTGTTCGATAATAAGCTGCGGGTTGGGGGATCTATCATTCCACAGAGCATCATTCCGGGAACTCCAGATTTTCCAGCAGAGCACACACAGGAGTTCAAGTTGTTCCTGGTGCAAGAGGTCCAACATATAGTCAAGGAAGCTAGCGAAATTATCCCCAGTAAAGTGTGAGATTCGGAGGTTAAGCGGGCAACCCATCCAAACGGCACGGCTAGCCGCACAAGCCACTAAACAATGAAACACAGATTCCTGCTCCATGCCACACATAGGACAGTCAAGATCAACCTCAACTCGGCGACGCATTAGATTATCTTTTGTGGGGAGAATATTCCTATAAACTTGCCAAATCATCAAGCCAACCTTCTCAGGGATATCAAGATTCCAAAGAAGACCACCCCTGAAGCTTGAGGAGGACGGAGAAGGGCCTGCATGAGACCCACCCATAGCCATTGCACGGTGGTAACCCGAGCGGACGGAATAAGAGCCATGTCGTGTAAACTGCCATGTCCAGCCATTATCTTGACGCACCCAACTCAAGGGCATGGATAAGATAAGCTGGGCCTCATGAGGATTAAAAATTGCCCGAATTAAATCATGCTTCTAGTAGTGAGAATCGGCATCAATAAGATCACATACGTAGCGGAGCTCGCAACCGGGCGGACGGGGTGACTGAACAGAAAGCTGGCTGTGACCAGGAAGCCAAGGATCATTCCATATGTCTATGGAGCGCCCATCACCAATCAACCTTCTGCACCCTTGTCTGAGAAGAGTAGTGGCAGAGCAGATACTCTGCCATGTAAAGCTACAGGAGGGCTTCAACTCCGCATGCAAGAAATCCGATCGGGGATAATATTTAGCCTTCAACAATTGTGCAACCAGTGAGTCCGGGTTGACGAGTAAACGCCAGCCTTGCTTACCAAGCATAGCTAAATTGAATTCATGAAGAGCTCGGAACCCCAAACCTCCCATCTTCTTTGGAGTTGCAAGCTTTCTCCATTCCATCCAATGGATCTTAGAATGATCGTCACCCCCACCCCACCAGTATCTATTCATAATCCTCTCCAGATCTGTACAAAGACTCTGAGGAAGAAGAAACATGCCCATGAGGTACATAGGGAGAGCTTGTAAGACTGACTTGATGAGAACCTCCCTCCCAACCTTTGAAAGGGGTTGCTCTCGCCAATCACAAATACGGGCTCGGAACTTACTCTTCAGGTGAGAAAATGCTCTTGCCTTTGCTCTACTAACTTGGGCTGGGAAACCAAGATATCTACCTGGGGAGCTCAACTCCTTCATACCAAGAATTCCCGTAACACAATCTCGTGCGATAGACGGCACGTTACTACTAAAAGAAACAGAGGATTTGTGCAAATTCACCACTTGCCCTGAAGCAGCCTCAAACTTACAAAGAATTTCCCTTAAGTGCTGAGCTTCAAACAAAGTAGCCCGCAAGGAAAGAAAGCTATCATCAGCAAACAAAAGGTGAGAGATTTGCGAGGCATGTCTACATATCTTAATACCATGCAGCATCTTTCTCCTTTCTGCATCCTTTATCATTGCTGTAAGGCCTTCAGCACATAGGAGAAACAGATAAGGTGACAAGGGATCACCCTACCGCAGCCCTCGAGAAGGGGTAATCCGCCCAACATCCACACCATTGAGCAAAATGTTGTACTGGACTGAGGTCACGCAACCCATTATTAAGCTAATCCATCGCTCAACAAAGCCTAGGGCCTTCATAACTGCCACAAGATACGGCCATTCCACTCTATCAAAGGCTTTGCTCATGTCCAGTTTAATAGCCTACCATCCCCTTTTCCTACGCTTCCTGGAACGCATAAAATGAAGAACCTCATAAGCAATTAAAAAGTTATCTATAATGAGTCTATTTGGAAGAAAGGCACTCTGCTCCTGTGAGATAACTCCTAGCAACACCTGCTTGAATCTATTTTTCAATACTTTTGCAAGAACTCGATAGACAACATTGCACAGGCTTATAGGTCGTAGATCCCCCATTGCTTTTGGCTCATGACACTTTGGGATTAGCATAATATTTCTGAGATTTAGCTCATCCGGAAAGGGAATTCCTTGGTTCAAATACTGCAAACATGGCTGAATGATGTCATCCTTCACTGAGACCCAAAAGCGTTGAAAGAAAATTGGGGAGAGACCATCTGGACCAGGCGACTTAGACGGGTGCATTTGAAATAGGGCCTTCGTAACCTCCGCCTCAGTGAACTCATGCAGTAGGAAAGAATTGTCCCCATCTTGCACACAAGGTTTTAAACAATCTATCACTAGAGCTAGGTTCGTAGGATCTGTTGATGTGAAGAGCTGGGCGAAGTACCCTGTGACAACTACTTTAACCTCGCCAAAACTAGATGTCCAGTCTCCCGTATCCTTCATTAGCTTCTCCACCCTGTTGCAATCCTTACGCTTGGTAGCTCTTCTATGGAAAAAACGGGTGTTCCTATCCCCCTCTTGAATCCAGATATCGCGAGAGCATTGCCTCCACATTATCTTTTCCCTTTCAAGCCATTCCTCAAGTTCATTAAGCACATGACGTTCCTCTCTCGCAGCTAGAGTAGGATCCTGATGGTGACTGAGCCTCTTGAACTCCTTCATGCACTGCTTTAAATGTTTCTGAACGTGCCCAAACTGGACATGATTCCACTGCAGCAATTCATTAGAGCATACTCTCATTTTGTGCAATAGACAACCCCAATCACCTGTCCCCTCAATGGATTTCCAACTAGCCTGAACCACCTCTTGGCATCTATTATCACGTAGCCACATCTCCTCAAACCTAAACCTTTTGCGATGCCGGTTTCTCTTGTCCCGTCGCCCATCAATACTGATCCACAAAGGCTTATGATTAGAGGCTAAAGGGGGAAGTAATCGGACTATAGCATGAGGGAAGGTATCATGCCAACGAGTAGTTGCCAACCCCCTGTCCAGCTTCTCACGGATCTCTCCTCGCTGCCAAGCGAAGGAACCTTCTACCATCCATAACTCCGTTAGACTGCAAGCTTCAATGGCATCGTTAAACCCCGCAAGGAGCCATTCTGGTTGTGCATCCCCCCCCACTTTTTCATCTTGGCGTAGGATATCATTAAAATCCCCACAGATTAACCAAGGCAAAAGAGAACGACTAGCCAATTCACGTAGTAAAGCCCATGACCTTCTCTTACGATGTCGTTCAGGACAACCATAATAACCAGTAAGCCGCCATTTGCACCCCCCCATACCTTCAACCTCCATATCAATATGGTTGGTAGAGTAAGATAACAAGGATAATGACACCTCAGAAGTCCACAGCATAGCCAAGCCTCCACTACGTCCAATCTTGTCTACAGTAAAACAATTGTGAACCCTCAACCTCTGACGAATATGATCCATACCTCTTCCATCCAGTAATGTCTCACACAAGAACACTACTGCAGGCTTCTTCAACTCCACCAGTTCGATGAGGCTCCGAACTGCTCGAGGGTTCCCAAGCCCTCGGCAGTTCCAACAAAGTATACTCATGGCGAACGGCAGGCCTGCAAAGCAGTACCTGTCGATAAAATAACTGGATTACCATCACCACCCTCGCCTTTGCTACGCTTATCATAGCCTCCCAACTCAAGGTCATCTTCCTGCACTTTATCATCTTTCCTCTTCATCCTCTGGACAGTTGATTTAAAGTGAGATAGAACAGATTTGCGCTCACGCGCCTCTTTTTTCCAGGCTCTTGTTTTTGGGCTTGTAGTACATGGGCTAGATTGGAAGAAGAAAACAGGGCCTTCTTCCACATTGTTGCTACCCGGGTTTGAAATACTGGAGGACTGAGGCTGTAATGGGCCGACTTCCACTGGAAACCCCACACTTATGGAAACAGAATCCTTCGCACCGTCTTTCCCGCTCCTGGAATCTTGGACTTGTAAGATAGGCTGCTGTGCAACGAATACTTTCTATTGCTCTATTCTGCAAAAAGGAACAATCTCATCCTGATTTTGCGATGAATCCAGACCATCACGCCCCCAATCACGTTGATTAGAATCTGCCTCAAGGCCACCTATTTCCATATTTGAGGAACTTCCTAATCGGGGAATCGGGCATCGCCACCTTGCCTCCACCGCGACACGATTTCCAAAGGAGTCCCGTAGCCACCGTGCACCCCCTGCTTCACTCGTCTGCTGCAGGTGCTTTGGTATAGCCCGTAATTTCTCGTTGTAAGGGCGTTCTGCTATACCCATCTTCTCCATCTCCAAACCTAATTCACAATCCCTCTCGATATGATCTAACATACCACAGCAAAAACAAAAGTTTGGTAATTGCTCATATTGAAAATCGACCCAAATTGGTCCTTCCCTCAGTGTGAGCTTCATGCCACACCTTAGCGGCTTCCTAGAGTCAATAAAGACTCTGACTCGGATATACTCCACGCCCCAAGCGTTGCCACCCCCATCATCCACCTTAACAAGCCGTCCCAATGCCTCCCCTACTCGACTCCCAGTTCTTGCTGTCATCCGATCTGGAGGTAGCCCATGTATCTGGATCCAAAAAGGAACTTCATACAACTCCTCCCTAGCTAGCTGACGCCCTTCCTTTGCCTCCTTTAGTACCATGACATGGTTTGCAAAACGCCATGGCCCTACCGCCAGCACCCTCTGCATATCAATCGGGTGGAAGAAATAGAACGCAAAGAGGTTCTATCCTAAAACTCGCATGTGGATGCCTTTAACCGGCCTCCAGGCACCCGCAAGTGTATTCTCCATAGCTTCCATGTTGTACCGTTTGTTTATCAACACAGTACCGACGAGGCATCCCCTCCAGCCACCCCCCGCAGGATCCACACCACTACCATCATCAAGGTTCAGCGTTACCTCCTCATCAGCAGTCATGGATAACCGCTCACCCAACGTCGTCGTGAGATCAGTGACACTAGGAGCCGCCATAGCAATGAGATCTGAAAATGACTCCCAACTCTAGGAGAAAATAACTCCCAACCCTAGGAGAAAAAAACACAATGAGAACATACCCTCTGCTAGAAATTTTTTTTTTTTAAAACATTGATAAGATTCAAAATTTTGATTAACTAATTTAAGTGTTTTAAAATTTATAAACAAATCATTTGATGTGAAGGTTGGATTCAACGTATGGTTGTATAAAATACTAATGGTTAGTTAACAAAGTTAACAATCAATTAATAAAACTAACAATCAATTAATATAACGTTAAATAAAAGTTATTTTCTTTAATTCATATAAATAAAGGGTTAAAAGTGTCATAGTATTAAAGTAAGGTATTAAAATCTATAAATTTATTAAAATAAAGAATTAAAAATAAATTTTTACTTACTGTTTGCAACTTAAAAGTTTTAAAATATATATAATAGATATTTAAGTTTTAAATACTATATTTATATATTTTTTATTTTTAATAATTAAGATTTATTATAATTATAAATAGTGGATACCTCCTCTGATGTGTATATATATATATA